GCGAGGCCCCGCCCGGGGGGAGGCGCGAGACGCAGGGGCCCAGGGTGGACGCCCCTGTTCAGGGGCCCAGTTTCCTACAGTTCAACCCACCAGCCGGAGCGGGGGCAGCTCCAGCCGGGAGAAGGGCCCGGGGGCAGCCTGACAGGGCAGCTCTGGCCAGCCTGGGCCTTACAGGGGGAAGGGAAACCCCTGGGTTGAGGGCTGAGCTGGCTCAGAGGAGCTCCGGGCACATCACCTACCTGCAGGGAGACGGAGTCGGCGCCTGAGGGCAGGTGGAAAGCAGCCCAGGCCGGGGGCGCTGGCGGGAAGGCGGGTAGAATCCAGTCACTGCAGGGCCCTGGGCGAGGCAAGGGGGAGAATATCCCATCGACACTTCCCCTCCGCAGGCAGCGCCAGCCTCGCAGCCTCCTCACACGGCGGGGAACCCCGGGCCACAGAGAAGTGACGTGGCTTGTGCCTCATCACCCGGCACGTCACCTGCGGAGCCGGGCTCAAACCCAGCCATCCTGAGTCCCTTGCTTCGACCACTAGCTCACGCTCCCTCCCGGAGCCGGGCTCGAACCCAGCCATCCTGAGTCCCTTGCTTCGACCACTAGCTCACGCTCCCTCCCGGAGCCGGGCTCGAACCCAGCCATCCTGAGTCCCTTGCTTCGACCACTAGCTCACGCTCCCTCCCGGAGCCGGGCTCGAACCCAGCCATCCTGAGTCCCTTGCTTCGACCACTAGCTCACGCTCCCTCCCGGAGCCGGGCTCGAACCCAGCCATCCTGAGTCCCTTGCTTCGACCACTAGCTCACGCTCCCTCCCGGAGCCGGGCTCGAACCCAGCCATCCTGAGTCCCTTGCTTCGACCACTAGCTCACGCTCCCTCCCGGAGCCGGGCTCGAACCCAGCCATCCTGAGTCCCTTGCTTCGACCACTAGCTCACGCTCCCTCCCGGAGCCGGGCTCGAACCCAGCCATCCTGAGTCCCTTGCTTCGACCACTAGCTCACGCTCCCTCCCGGAGCCGGGCTCGAACCCAGCCATCCTGAGTCCCTTGCTTCGACCACTAGCTCACGCTCCCTCCCGGAGCCGGGCTCGAACCCAGCCATCCTGAGTCCCTTGCTTCGACCACTAGCTCACGCTCCCTCCCGGAGCCGGGCTCGAACCCAGCCATCCTGAGTCCCTTGCTTCGACCACTAGCTCACGCTCCCTCCCGGAGCCGGGCTCGAACCCAGCCATCCTGAGTCCCTTGCTTCGACCACTAGCTCACGCTCCCTCCCGGAGCCGGGCTCGAACCCAGCCATCCTGAGTCCCTTGCTTCGACCACTAGCTCACGCTCCCTCCCGGAGCCGGGCTCGAACCCAGCCATCCTGAGTCCCTTGCTTCGACCACTAGCTCACGCTCCCTCCCGGAGCCGGGCTCGAACCCAGCCATCCTGAGTCCCTTGCTTCGACCACTAGCTCACGCTCCCTCCCGGAGCCGGGCTCGAACCCAGCCATCCTGAGTCCCTTGCTTCGACCACTAGCTCACGCTCCCTCCCGGAGCCGGGCTCGAACCCAGCCATCCTGAGTCCCTTGCTTCGACCACTAGCTCACGCTCCCTCCCGGAGCCGGGCTCGAACCCAGGCGTCCTACCTCTCGGATCCCTTCTCCGATTTCCTTATGAAAAACGATCTTGGGGCCTCTCTAACACCGGGAATCCCAGAACAGTCATGTAGCCACGAACCCTACAACGGGCCTGGAGATGTTACCACGTCCTCCCCTTTCCCCCCATGCTAGGGCCCAGCCCGGCAGGTGTCTGGCTCCTCTGCTGTTCAAAGCAGAGACTGCCCGGCCTCTCTCTGCTTAACTAGCTGAGCTAGCACCTGCTCTCTTTCACCTTCCTGCCATGGCTGTCCAGCTGCTCTCACCACTCCTTTCAATCAGGGTGACTATTGTAACCAATAGGGTCTCCTTCCTCGGTTAACTAGTACTTCAAAAGCCTCGTCTGACGTCTGGCGTGTCTAGACTACACCTCTCTGCCGACAGAGCGATGTAGATTAGGCACATCGAAATTGCTAATGAAGCAGGGATTAAAACATCCCGCGCTTCATTAGCCTAAAAATGGCCGCCGCTTTTTTCAGCCCGGAGCTTTGTCTAGAGACTGATTTTTTCCAAAAATAAAGCCTTTTTCGAAAGATCCTGTAAACCTCATTTCACGAGGGTTATAGGATGGCTCGTAATAGTCCATTATTGTGACATTTGGTGCTGTGTAGATGCACCGAATTTCAAAATCGCCTCTTTCGAAATTCAGTCGAAATAAGATACGCCATTCGCGTAGCGCAAATTGTGTCTCTTATTTCGAGGTTAGGATGCTGTGTAGACGCACCCTGAGAGACTAACAAAAATACATCGAATCCTGAGCTTTCGTGGGTAAACCACGTTCATGCTACGATATGGTTTTGTTAGCCTCTAAGCCCTGGTCTATGCTAGGGAATTATTTTGAAATAACCCCCCTTCTTTCGCAAAAAACAAACAGAGCGTCCACACTACTAAGCCTGGATATGTCTACACTACCCTCCTAGTTCGAACTAGTGGGGTAGTGTAGACATACCCCCTGTTATTTCGAAATAAGGGGCTGGTTATTTCGAAATCTGTCCTCCTGCTTTCGTCAGGGAATAATGCTTATTTCAAAATAGCGGCCGTGGGGCCCCTCCGGTGCCGCTATTTCGAAATATCGCCTCCCCAGAGTCATTCGAAGTGATCACTCCCCAGGGGCTGTAAGTCGAGGGAGCGGGTCCATGATAACGGAGCCTGCCTGGGACTCATTTCGAGGCTCCCCCGTCGTGGGGACACGCCCGTTCGATTTTGTGATTTCAGGAGTTATTTCGAATGTCGTTATTCGACAAGCTCTAGGACTCCTCGTTATTTGTTAAGTTACAGACAAACATGCCACTCCCCCCGATGACCGGGCTGCCCATCGCAGACCGCCAGCATGTCTGGGACGCCGGACACAGGCTG